CAGAAAGAAAGATCCACGCCATTACTCCTTCATCATCTTTGCCCACACTCCCACTGAATGGAGTTCTGATGAAGTTAAAGATGAATTCCATAGAAATTTTTTAGTCCTCAAAAGCTAAACGCTCAGATTTAGTAATAGTGTAATGAACGAAACTCACGTGGGGATAACCAATTTATTATTTAATATCAAGTTACGAAACCTCACATTAAATACTTCATTTGCAACTCTTTCATCAATTGTCCCTATCATTCTGTTTGATTCTTTCAGTTCACAATTCCTTTTTATTTCCCTTTCTTTTTTCTTCAGTCCGATCTTCTTAGCCTTTTGCTTCCAGCCATTCAACTTGGGATTTGTGTCGATATAAGTAGCATACACCACAATAGTATCAGGTGATTTTAATGCCCAAGTGGGTCGTATAAACCAAGCTGTAAGGCACTTAAGTATCGCAGCTCAGCAAACAGATAATGGCGACCAGCTACTGTAACTATACTTGGACAATTGCTTATTTCTATCAAGCACAAACTTTAAGAATAAAGAAAGACACCGTCTGTTATGGCGATCCTCAGGATTGATGCAGATAGACTACATTGAAGTTAGTCATCTTTGAAAGGTTCAACATAAAACTGTCGCTCATTTTGAAGCACATTTAAAAACCCTAATCACGTTCTAGTGAGAGCACAATGGCATCGGTTTATACACTGTCTTCCCTTAAACTATGAGATTAAAATTACTTTATACCTTTCCAATTCTTTCTTCCTGTACTGTATCCTTGTACACAATCTTTCTTTTATATAGTACTATCATTGAAGTAACTACTTCTATGAATTTGGTGTTCATATTGTTGTGCTAACGAGGTGTGGCAGCTTTGACCGATGCATATATGTGCCTGGTCCTACGTTGTAACTGACTGACTGATTCTAACGAAAGCACGTTTTCGCCTGTGTCCTTCTGGGCATAGAAAAGTCACAGCAGGAAAACCCCTTACAGCTTACCTTAATGATGGAAAAGTCAAGAGTATATTTCAAGAACAACAAGAGGAACAACTAATCAACCATAAAATTGACGTTTATCTTGACGTACCCTGGCGTGATATCTTATTTATTTATTTATTTAACACATAGATATTGGTACAACGAGGCACCAAGTACATATGCGCCACACGAATCTCAATTGATTTGTGTGAGGGATGTGATACTGCCCGGGTGCCCAAACCGAAGCAGGTGGTTTTCTTAGGGGGCCACACCCCGAGCCTTCGACCTGAACGTCTGACCCACAAGGCAGTGGAGCATCGTAAGGAGATGCAGTCCCATGGTAGCCGGTGACCAAAAGTTGGTTCATACGCCATTTGATCCTTCAGGATACTGGAGCCCATGTGCACCATTGGTTTGAGATCCTGTTAAAGCGCCGGAAATTCGGTTTTCGTCCTCTGATTTTCGTAAACAACACCCCCGCCACGAGAAGGCAGTGAGTAGGACTTACCTGGAAGAGGCTGTATACGCGTGGCCATGTGAGAGCATTTCAAGAGGGAGAGCGGACTCTCCCCACTCTCGGCCGTACCAGGGCATTTGGGGGCAATGGAAAACCTGGAAGCACTGGACGGCCGTTTCGTCCTAGTATGGGACTCCTCAGCAGTGCGCATCCACGATCCCGCTCCTCGCGATATTCGAACCCAGGACCTATCAGTCTCGCGCCAGGCGCTTAACCAACTAGACCACTGAGCCAGTATCTTAAACCCACAGATTAAGAAACATCGGTGAATTTCAGTGGCACCTACTGAATTGATAGATGCTCGACAACCTATCTCGTCATATTCAGAATACAATGAGGCGCAAAGGCAGGATAAATTTAGACTAACAAAAAGCCTGCGTAGCGATCATGTGCAGTGGTGGTCAGCAAAACCAGAAGAGATGGAAAGAGCAACGGCAACATGTAACAGTAGATAATTATTCTGATTCATCAAAGAAACATGTGTTAGAAATTCGGTTTTTAGTGAGATGATTTCGTCAAGAGACGGAACCACTACTCACTCTTATTCCAGGAGATTAGACCGATGAACAGTATATTACAGGAAACAGTTCAACTTGCCTCCAACTACCCCTTGATAACTCACTACTCCAAAACAAACAAAATTAGAGACTAAATATTAATGAATTTGAAATATGATAGCTAACCTAAATCGAGGAATGGGAGCTAGATCTGATGGATTAATCCTGGAGATATTTATGGACGGTGGTCTAGTATTGACATTTATATGGACTGAATTATTAGATAGAATCTAGAAACTCATCTGACTGGAACCAATCACTGATGATCCCAGCTTATTAGAAAGGACAAAAATTCTCTTATAGCAAACACATAGGGATCAACTTAACCAATGTAATACCAAAAATATTAGCTTCAGTAATCACCCGACTCTTAACTGGTGCTCTTGAAGAGCGAGCCCGGAAAAATTAAGCTAGTTTTAGACCAATTTGTGAGTTGTTCACTCTTCGTCAGTTGTTGGAACATGGATACATTTTCCAATGTCCTACTATAGCTGTATTCCTTGACCTTAGGGTAGCATCCAGCTTCGTTGTTTGAGTGGTTTCATGGACATGTTTTTTTTGAACGACATACCAAACAAGTACGTCAACCTCATTGTCTCTTCTTATTTAACCCCGCTATAGACATCCTACCCGAAGTAACATTACATCCCTTAACTTTTCAAATGTTGCTCTACCAGGAGATTCACTTTTCCTTTTAGAATATACTGGTGACAAGGTTCTATTTGTTAAAGACGCTGACAAAATGTGATCTTCTGATACCTCTCAGCGACAATCCAAGTATGTTTGGAATGCGTTTGCCTCTCGAATGCGAAATCTTGCTTCAAGGCTGGCCTTGGTCAATGTCTGGACCAATGACAAGAAGTTAATTAGTTGATCGGGTTGACCGATTCACTCATCTTAGAAGTCCCATTAGCCGTAGAGGAGAAATGTTTGACAAAATCTGTTACTCATTCAAAATTCTCAGTTGGAGTTTGCCAACTTGTTTTATTGGTGGCGAAGAAAAGTTGTCTATCTGCCAACCACAGAATGAGTTTATTGTGCAGCGGTTGTCACCGTCCTACTTTATGGATATGTAACACGACCATTAGGAATTATATTCGTAGGTTACTAGTATTTAATCACGTGTCTTCGAAGCGTTGATCACTTATAGTGGGACTACCGAGTAAACAATCGTGAGGTTAGGCAAAGGTAAATCAACTGATGAGGTTGTAAATCTTCATCAACTGGTGGTTGGGACATGCATTACGTATGCTTAATCACAGCCTACCTCGACGGGATATTGTTGTCTGGTGTAAGAGTAGACTGGAAGAAAGCTAAGAGCTCCCAAACCAAGATATGACATCAGTACATAAAGACACTGACGGTTAGTCTGAGGTTACCTGATTTAGGTCATCTCTATAAATTCAATCAATGTTTAAAGATGTTGAGTGGATTGACTCAGAATCGTTCACAATGGTGTAGGTGCATTCACTGTTTTTCTACCCTTAGGTTTTGTGTATCGAAACCTTATACCTTTTTTAATCTATTATGTTGACACTGATATTGTTACTACCTCTGTTGTACCGAGATTTTTCTTGGCAATTTCAACTCGTCGTGCTAATGTGATACGGTATCGTTAACCGATATACATATATCCCATGTTCCATGTTGCGTATGATTGATTTTTTAACATAAAGATTATTATACAAAACAAACTGTATTACATATGAACAGTTCATAGATTAAAGTCACATCAAACGATATATCGGTTTAAATTTTCTACAATTTTCATCATTCCAACCTTTTTAACCAATACACTTTTGACACAACTTAGTTTTGTATACATTTGATTTTAAAATATTATTGTAATAAGATTGTTCCTATTGTGCCGATTCAGTTAGTAATTAGCATGTGTAGCTGAAATTCATATACTCAAATCATATCATTATTAAGGAGATGATCAAACCCTATGCAAATGTGTCAGCATGTTTTCATCTTTCAGTTGTACCCTTTGTAACAAACCCATATATCTCTCTCTATTCTATACTGTTACATCACTGTCGTTATGTTGCCACATGAGATTCATTTATTGAAATCTATTATCGCTTCGTATTTTTGTCCCCACTCCCCCGTTACTATGACTACCTAACTTCAAGAAACAGGTATAGTGATCCGTAAGTCTAAACTCATTTTATCTTATTAGACAAATAGATACGATACTACGTTGAATTCACGCTAATGATATTTCTCATTTACGATTTCTATTTCTACCGACTTGAAGTGAATCTCTGTCACAATCAATCAATCTCATTTCACTTCCGAGTTCCTGTTCATTGTGTATGAGTACTCGATCTCCAGGTCACTTGACGAAATACAGTCTTTAACTTTCTTTAACATATAAAATATTTTTCACACAAAGTGAAATGCCTGGAGGCAGAAGGTCAAAAAGATCAAACAAAAGAGAACGAGAGCAGAGAATGATTGATGTGAAAACGAAAGAACAATGAAAAATGGTAACACAGATGACATTTTAGTGTGTGGAAACACTTCTTTAGTCCCTTGGCCACGTCAACTGTTGATCTAACTAACTTGCTTGTAATAGGTCTTGATTCGTGAATTTGGACTTTTTAAAATCAATAATTGTATTGTTAGTAGCGCTTCAAAGTTTAATTATTAGTTTAATGTTCTTAATGTCTATTGAGCTATTGGTATTTGTTTTATACTTGTATCATTTGCTTAATTTTGGCTAGCTAGCTAGCTGATAAGTGATATCGTTAACTTTTATAATCGTCTATTTTAATAAAATAATCAATACAAGATGACTAAATAGAACAATGTTTTCTGCTCTACTACATCTATTATAATGACGATAATTGAAGAGTTAGTTTTCATGGTATACCAATGCATAATTCAAATTTCTTTCTAAAAAAAGAAACATTAGTTTATGTTTAACTCTTTTAAACTTATTTTTTACAGAATTCTGCTCCTTTTCAATCGAATTATCAGAATCGTATGAATTTTCCTGAAACAGCTGGTCATCAATCTGAAAGTTCTATTGTTGTATCTCAATTGTCTACTAAGAAATTAACTACACCGGTTTTGTGTTGTATATCATCCAATCCAAATAATATCCCAATAATAAGTCAACAGTCGCCCAATGATAATAATAATGTTGTGTTCAAAACAGATAATACAAAGCAACATATTATTGATAAAAATATTCTATTAACTAAAACTACTACTGGTATTGTTCAACCATCAGAATTGTGTCATATTCAACCGATTTTAATTTCATCTCCGGTTAAAAATAATAATAGTAATACACATAATTTAGGTACTAGTTCTTATATTGATTCAAATTGTTTATCAAATCAATCAAATAATGATAAATCACACTCAGTAATATCATCCTCTCCATTATTAACAAATTGTAATTCACCATCAACAACATTACAATCATCTACCATATGTTGTTTGTTACGGCCATCGGGACGTTCAACCAGTACAAGTAGTGGAAGTAGTTGTGGTAGTTCCTGTAGTGGTACTAGTGGTGGTGTGTCTGTTTCATCTGGGCAGTATATTTGTTCAATATGTTCCGATCGTGCAAGTGGAAAACATTATGGTCAGTTTTTTCTGAAATTTTTATCCCTCTTAAATTGTTTTACCATTTTTTACTGCCTCTAGTTCATCCATACATGTTCTCTCTCTCTCTCTCTAATAAAAGCTAATAATAAAAATTATTACTTGTTTCAAAGTTAACTCCTCATTCCATTTGAGTAAGTGGGGTTAATCAGTTGCATAATCTCACAGATGACATTCTGGAAATGGCTCTGAGGGATGCAGGTAACAGTGAGGTGTATCTGGTATCTGGAGAAAGATTTTTCAATCTTAAGTGTGCTTATACTGTGCGATGATACGCAAGTCATGCAGTCCGCGCTAAATCAATGGGCAGTCAATGTCCGTAGATATGGCATGTGCTTTGCACCTTCTAAGTGCGAAGTACTTTTAGAAGACTGACAAGATTCAGTCAGTCCGCTACAACGTAGGACCAGGCACATATATGCATCGATCCAAGTTGCTACACCTCATTAGCACAGCAAGATGAACACTGGATTCATATATGTAGTTAATTTAATGCGAGCAATCTTTCTAAGACATCTGGGATCAAATACTAGTAACTTACGTGTATCCTTTACTCTTAATGACCTTGTTTTGCAACCGTAAAGTAGAAAAGAAAGAACTGCGCAGTTTACCCGTCCTTTAATTGATAAACGGATATCTCACCTTCTCCATAAGTGACATAAGCTAGCAAAAGCCAAATTAGCTTTCTGAATCCGTGCACAGATTTCACCGGACACAAACTCATTAGGGCTGATCAGACTTCCAAGTGAAGTTGTCGACACGTTCGACTACCTTATCATGTGTTCATTTTGAACTCAAAATATGAATGCTATATCTTTGTATTTTGTTTTCATTTACGATATGAATTTTCTCTTTTGAGATCTTAATCAAAGAGGTATATTTTTAATTTCTTAGTTAAATTAACAGATTAAAAATTTTTATACTTGTGTAGGTGCGCGCGCACCGAATTATCGTCAGTTGTATTGAAAATTTCTTATCATGCTCTTATAGGTGTCTTTTCGTGTGAAGGGTGTAAAGGATTTTTCAAACGGACTGTACGTAAGGAACTCACTTATATTTGTCGAGATAATCAAGAATGTCAGATTGATAAGCGACTACGTAATCGTTGCCAATATTGCCGTTATCAAAAATGTTTACGGGCGGGAATGCGACGAGAAGGTCAGTTTATTGATTAGTCCAAATTTTCTTTATTTATATGCTAATTTTTATTTCCTGTCCAATATAAAATTCAATGTAATGATGATACATATATACCCTGTAATTATTTTTACATTAGTATTTTTTATCAGTTCTTGTTATCAAGAAAAATCTCGGTACAACAGAGGTAGTAACAATATCAGTGTCAACATAATAGATTAAAAAAGGTATAAGGTTTCGATACACAAAACCTAAGGGTAGAAAAACAGTGAATGCACCTACACCATTGTGAACGATTCTGAGTCAATCCACTCAACATCTTTAAACATTGATTGAAGTTATAGAGATGACCTAAATCAGGTAACCTCAGACTAACCGTCAGTGTCTTTATGTACTGATGTCATATCTTGGTTTGGGAGCTCTTAGCTTTCTTCCAGTCTACTCTTACACCAGACAACAATATCCCGTCGAGGTAGGCTGTGATTAAGCATACGTAATGCATGTCCCAACCACCAGTTGATGAAGATTTACAACCTCATCAGTTGATTTACCTTTGCCTAACCTCACGATTGTTTACTCGGTAGTCCCACTATAAGCGATCAATGCTTTTTCTTACATGGTTCTTCTGATTAGCCACTGTGTTAGGAGCTGAAGAACCGATTAGTTTTGGTATGTTGAGTTGTTGTTTATTGATCCATGTGTCAGTGGTTATCTAGAAGGTCATATGTCGTCCTAGTGATATAGGTAGATTTATCGAGAACCAGAATCCTAGTGGGGCGGTATTAGGCATGATATCGATTGGTGATCTCAAGCCACCACAAATCGTTTTAAAACGAATGTTTTGTCATTATGTAGCTTGATAGGGTCATCACCACGTCTGGGTATTTATGATTCAGTTGTAGTTTTCTGACTGTCTACTTAAAGCTCATAGAACAGCCTAAAAACATCACAGTGTTCTTGATGCTTAGCGTACCTTATCGACGGAACTGTGTCACTGAAAAGAATTGGTTGTCTTAAGTCTCCTTATTTACGACCTAGTGTTCTCGGACTCTTCGCTTCACTTAACTGGTTCCCAAATCAAAACACAATTTAGACTGAACATAAGCATATTTCACTGACAAAAAGAGTATCAATATAGGTTTGTGGAGTTTCATTGAAACCATTAACCGATCAGTGTCATACTACCATTGAAAACCTGGGAGCACTAAGAGCCCGTTTCTACCAAGTATGGGACTCCTCTGATGTGCTCATCCATGACGCCACACGAGAGGGAATTCTTGAAGTTCTAGTGAGAAAACGTGACCAGTAGAGTACAACCGTGTTGGGTGCGAGGCAGTTACCGACCGAAAACAATTAAAGATGGTTGTGCGATACCATGGATTAGTTTAAGTCAGACACTGTCCCCAAATGCCCTGGTATGGCCGAGAGTGAGGTGGGTTCGCCCTCCCTCTCGAAATACTCTCACATGGCCACGCGTATACAGCCTCTGCTAGGGAATTCCCACTCACTGCCTTCTGGTGGCGGGGGTGTTGTTTACGGAAATGAGAGGACGAAAAGCGAATGTCCGGCGCTTTAACCGGATCTCAAACCAATGGTGCACATGGGCTCCAGTATCCTGCGGGACAAATGGCGTACGAACCGAATTCTTGGTCACCGGCTTCCATGGGACTGCATCTCCTTACGATGCTCCACTGCCTTGTGGATCAGACGTTTAGGTCAAAGGCTCGGGGTGTGGCCCCCTAAGAAAACCACCTGCTTCGGTTTGGGCACCCGGGCAGTATCTCAGCCCACACACAAAAACATGTTGAAATATTTACTTATGGAAAATATTCTCTTCGCTCTGATTAACAATGAAATGACTCGCATTGTTATTATTATTATTATCATTTAATTCGTCATTTGTTCACTCTCTTTTATTCCTACTCTGTCTATCCTTATTTTTCGACTTATACAGCAGCTCGCCTATGGTGGACATTCGGCTCTATCTAAACGTTCTCGTGTCACTGCCTGGTTGAAAATATTATGTTACCATCGAATACGAGTACTGAAGCAGTTTTTCTGAAACCACGTGCACCATTCAAACTGGCTGCCTTTAACGTTCGCACACTTATGCAGATCGGACAACAGATAGGGCTGGCTGTGTCTTTGGAAAGTCTTAATATTGACGTATGTTTAGGTGGCCGCCACCAAAGGATTGATGTTAGCAAGCTGGCTGCAACTTCTGTTGCTAGTAAGTATCGAATCGAGCTAGCTTCTAGGCTAGCTACCATTCCATGGAAAAGCATAGATAAGCATTGGCTGCAATTGCATGACGCCATGAAAATGGCGGGTAAAATCCCGCTTATATGCACTGGGTTTCTTCGGGTTCCTTACAACTGATTGAAGCCCGTCGGTCTACTCCGGGTGACCGTGAGTTTGACCACAGACGAAGGATGTTACATATTGAAATTGGGCAAAGCTTGCGTAAGGACCGAGAAGCCAGGTGGTTGGAGCGTGTCATAAGCTGGAAACAGCAGCTGCATCTGGTAATTACCGGAAGCTCTTCCAACTCATCCGAGCCACTGGCAGCAAGAAGTCTGGTGTGAGCGAAACAATCTGCGAGGATGACGGAACGCCAATCACTAACATCCATCGACGTCTTGGACGATGGGCAGAATTCTTCGAAGGGCGGTTTGACTGGCCTGCTGCTCCGTCAACATCGGTCAGATTTTCCTGCCCTCCATGGGCGGTGGCGACTGATCCACCAAATAAGGCGGAAGTCCGTAAGGAACTCCAACTCTTGAGGCGCTACGAATGACCGGGCTCAGATGACTTACCTCCGTCTCTTTTTAAATATGGTGGTGACTTTCTGGCTAAGGAACTGACGACATTGTTTACAAAGGTCTTGGAACTAGAGGGTGTACCAACGTCATGGAATGAGTCGATAGTTGTCCCTATCTTTAAAAAGGGTTCACGTCTTTCCTGTAACAACTGTTGCGGGATAAGTCTACTTCCGATTGCGTCCAAGCTATTTGCTTCCGTTATACTTTGTAGGTTGTTCAAAACCCGAGAAGGATTGACTCGTGAGGAGCAGGCTGGGTTTCGTTCTGGTCGAGGATGTATTGATCATATCTTCACCCTCCGCCAAATGTTAGAACACCGCCATACTTATCAAAGGCCAACAATCGTAGTGTTTCTTGACATCAGGGCTGCCTTCGATTCGTTGGACAGAACTGTTCTCTGGGATTGTCTATTGAAGAAGGGTGTGCCTGAGAAGTTTATTAACATCCTAAAAGCCCTACACACAAACACCTCAGGCAGAGTGAGGGCATACAACCACCTTTCTCCATTGTTCTATTCAAGCAGTGGAGTTAGGCAGGGTTGCCCAATCTCACCATTCCTCTTCAACTTTACCATCGATGACATTCTGGAAACAGCTCTGACGGATGTAAGTAATGGTGGTGTGGATCTGTTGCCTGGAGAAAGACTTCTCGACCTTGATTATGCGGATGATATTGTCTTACTGTGCGAGAATGCCCAAGCCATGCAATCCGCACTTAATCAGTTGGCAATCAGTGTCCGTAGGTATGGTATGTGCTTTGCACCTTCGAAGTGCAAAGTACTTCTACAAGACTGACAGGATTCTAATCCTATACTCACTCTGGATGGTGAGCAGATTGAAGTAGTCGAGAAGTTCGTGTATCTAGGTAGCTGCATAAGTGCTGGTGGTGGTGTGAGTGATGAGATCAATGCACGTATAGTGAAAGCCAGAACGGCTTATGCCAATCTGGGCCATCTTTGGCGCCTTCGTGATGTTAGTCTGGCTGTAAAAGGTCGGATCTACAACGCGACGGTGAGAGCAGTTTTGCTCTATGCTTGTGAAACCTGGTCTCTCCGAGTTGAGGATGTTAGACGACTCTCTGTGTTCGATCATCGTTGTCTCCGAAGGATTGCTAACATCCAATAGCAACGCCATGTTAGTAATGCAGAGGTTCGGCATCGTGTGTTCGGGCACAGAGACGATAATTCCATTGGTGTTACCATCTTGAAACACCGACTTCGGTGGCTTGGACATGTTCTACGAATGTCGTCCCAGAGAATTCCACGTCGTGCATTATTTGCCGACTTTGGGAATGGTTGGAAAAAGCGGAGAGGTGGTCAGTGTATGACATGGTGTCGTGGTATGAGAGAAAGCTGCAAAGGGCGGGCTTGTGTCGGTCCTTCACGACTCCCTGGCTGGGGTCCGAGAGATGATGTAACACAGTGGCTAGAGATGTTATCAGATATGGCTCAGAATAGAAGCCAGTGGCGATCCTACTGTAACGTTCTTTTACTTTCTTCGTAAAGAGTGGTTGTATCTTCCTTAACTGGAAGATTTCTCCTGATTGTGCCTTTTTCGTTACCCCATTATTACTACTATTACATTACCTTACACTTATCTGGTCGCTGTTGTTCTCTTTTTTTTTAATCCTTACGTTCCTTACCTTTTCTCCCTTCTCTTTAAATTCTCATTGTTTTGTGTGGCGCATATATATTTGTTGTCCTCTTGTACCAATATTTATTTGTTCAAATAAGTAAAAAATAAAGTCAGACACTAACACCGTTAGAGGCTGGGTCATGAGTCCAGAGCTTGAGCGATCCCACGCGAGACCGAAGATCTTGTGTTCGATTCCCGCCTGTAATATCGTGAATGAGGACTGCTAAGGAGTCCCGTACTTCGACGAAGCGGCCATCCAGTGTTTTCAGATTTTCACTCGTGGTCTAACATTGGTTCACGATTCTATTGAAAAAAATCAATAGACATCTTTATTTATTGATAACAGAATTTGTGATACAATTTGTCATCGAAAAATACTACACATAATTGAGTTGGTAATTTTGCAAAGAACAGCGAATTAAGAGGGTCGTACAATCTGAATAAATGAACAGAAATTGTTTTCAATCAGCAAAGCAGTGACTTAGTCAGTGGCATGACTCATCGTTGATTCCATATGGGCTGAGATCCGTTGATATGTAGGCGAGGGTTTCAAAAAACCGTGTCACTCACTCATCGAACAGTTGATAAACGATTCCTAATGAGAATCCAATCGATTGGTGCCACCTCACTGGCGCTTCGTACGACGCCGACTTCACCGAATATGGACGCCAATATTGCAGTGTCCCCCGAACAAGTGAACAAGGACTTCACTAGAACCTTCAATATGAATCACAGATATACAACTCCCTTTTATACTAAGACTTTGCAAAACCAAACTTATTTGCTGTCCTATCTAGATCAATGTAGGAATGTTGAAGGAGACAAGTTTTAGCGGCACGCTTGACTTCAGAAATGTCTTATCAGATTTCATAAAATCGTCCACTCGGCGACTTAATATTGTATAGACAAAACGGAACTTACAGCTTAGGCCAACTATTATGTGAGTTACAGATGTATATTCTTATGAAAAAACGTATCGGTAACATCAAAATAAAGCAAAATAAGATGACAAAGTGAAGTAAAATAAATCTGATTATGATTAAATAATTAAAAATTCCATATCTGTTAAGCACTAGTGTACCAGACAAGGAAATCATCATCTCCATCTTTCAACCTATGTTCAAGGATCCTACTCTAGAACAGTCTGAAGCATATGCTTTTGCTAATGAACCGCTCCCTGTGCTTTAGACCTGAAGGTCTAGTCCTCAAGGTATTTTAAAATCAACGTTTCCCTACTTTCGTAGGACGACTCCGAATGTTCATCTAAGCATTTTGATCACCGAACATCCGATTTTCATGGTCCCTCTCTTTCATAAAGCCATCATCTCCACTTAAAGGCAGTAAGTAGAACTCTCCTGATAAAGGCTATAATACGCTTGTCGTGTGTGAATGTTTCAAGAGCGTATGTATACTCTCTTCACTTTCGACCATATCAAAGCAAACTATCCTGAACAGCTTTATCTTATTCGTTTTTTCTTTATCTGCAATTTTAGCCGTTCAAGAAGAACGCCAACAACAACAACTCCAGTCTGAAATCCAAAGATCACCAACGCCACCTGAGCAAAATTGTGACTTATCAGTTAACTCGATGATTATGTCCGATACAAAAATAACTCATACATTGAATCATTCATGTTTAGTTGAAAACCAAGAAGTAATGTTAAAAACAACTAATTGTACATTATCATCATCATCATCTAGTCCTCACATTCTTTCGAAATGCTCAGATAGTAGTATAAATTATTTCTATTCAGCATCGAACGAAAAATCTCAACAACTTTCAATAAATAATAATTTTAATCTCACTGTCAATGACGCTGCAACACATCCATCTCAAGAGTTATCTTTAATCGTTAATAAAGATAGCAACAACGTAACATTACCTCTAATAGACATTCATGCATTGAAACTCCCAACAACAACACCCGCAGCCATTCCACCGCCACCTGATGCCTTAGAATTTATCAGGACGGCTGAATCGACTATTTCAAGTAGACGTAAACAATGGTTGAGTGCTTTCAATAAACAACAATGTCATGCAGAGATTGTTAAGGGTTTTCAGGACAGTATGGAAAGTTTTAAGTGGTTAGGAAATAATTTTGAAAAGGTTAGTATTTTAGGCTTTTCTTATCCCAAATATTCTTTAAGTTGTTGGTTTCTTTTTCAGCTAACTTGATATTTTGCCTACTTTTTATCCTTCAATTCGCAAAACACACCCTTTTTGTTTGTTATAAATTATGAGCCCTGACTTTGTCCCATCCTATCCCAGTCACCTTTGTGTTATGGATTAGAATTTTGTGAAAGAAAATTCTGACCGACTGGTAATATCCAATCATTCCATGTGACTTAGTGATGGCTACTCATGAGACCACGCTATTGACTCAACGCCATGAATGATTTAAAATCAAATGCGAAACCACTATGCGGAAGGATAGCGTTAAAAAAATGAATGACACAAAGTAAACACAATAAATTATCACGAGAATCAGCTTGTATTTTGCCTACTCTCCTCTGTCCAGTCAGTCAAGATGTGATTTTTAAGCTTATTTCTTAGCGATCATATCAATACAATTATAAATTGTTTTTTATTTGGTGTGTTGGTTCACTTTTTTCTAATACTTTGACGCATTAAAATGTTCGAAAACCCAGCAACCAAGCATACATACGTGTGATAAAATTGTGCTATGGTGAAGAATATCACACATTTTATTACCTTGCTTTGTTCAACTGCCTAAACCTTCATTGTTTTCTTGGAGTCTCTGAAGTTGACACCAACTCTCGTAAAGTAGTAACAGATCTTTACAAGTCACTTAAGAGAATTGCAAAACAAGAAATGACATTTCACCATTATTTCTCAAAGCATCAGTTTACATTTGAACAAGAACAAGTTCATAAGAGTTATTAATCATTCTTTTGATTTTTTGTTAGGTCAAACTGAAATGTTTAAATGATTATGTTTTTTTCAATCATTTCGTTTAGAATAATTGAGCTGTATTATTTTTCTAATAGGTTCTCATCAATATTATTACTTTAGTCTTGATAGACTAACTGTCTATTTTTCCTGTGACTAGTTATTATTTATCAAATGAAATGGTTGGGGACTGAGTGACATGGCTCAGAATCGATCACAATGGCCTAGGTGTATACACTTTTTGTCTTCTCTTAAACTATAAGGTTAAAATTATTTCATATTCTTCTTTCTACCAACTAATTCTTTCTTTCTGTGCTATATCCTTACATAAAATCTTTCCTTTATATATTGCACCACTGAATTAACTGCTTCTATGAATCCGGTGTTCATCTTGCTGTGCTAATGAGGTGTGACAACTTGGACCGATGCATATATGTGCCTGGTCCTACGTTGTAACTGACTGAATATTCGATTATTGTTATTTAAGAAAAATATATTAAAAATAGTTAATATATGTAAACTGATTTGTTTTTAAACACTTTAGTTTATATTCTTTAACCATCTTTGATCTCTACTATCCTATTTGTTGTCAGTTAAAAGCTTACAACTTTCCATATATAGAAATTCCTAGTCACTTTCAACTCTCTCGTTCGTGTACAAACCAACACCTCATTTACAAGTGTAAGTGTAGCTACCTTGTCTGTGATTGTTTAGCATTGTTATACTCGTTTATGGTTGTATTTTTCTTGTGTTATAAAATAGACAAATTTTGTAAGAATAACATTCATAGAAAATTAAAATCTCATCAATATGCTGATTTTATCTCTAATGTTAATTTTCTTTATCAACATTGTACTTAGTTAAAGTATTACTTTCATTATTTCAATTTTTTGATTACCAAACTATTTTCTTCAGTATTTTTCTCTCTCTCTTCTCATTTACAGTGTACAACTAATCATTTACCACTGCTTGATTTAGTTATCTGGTCGTCGAAACTTCCATATATTTGTCAACTCTCTTGTGGTGTTCACTTAGACCTCCTCAAATCAGGTACGATTATGCCTACATGCATTCCCATTTTTATTATATATATATATATATATATATATATATATATATATATATATATATATAACTAGTCTTTACAGGCGGCTCACCTCGCGATCTATAATTATTGCTAGATATTATCAGTGATATTCAACTTAATTAATTCTATCTAGTTTAATTTTTATTTAAAAATATTTCTCATCATGGATTGACATCAATTAAAAGAACCATTTAAAACCCGAACTAACATCAGTTATCTTTTCATCGTAGTTTTGAGACAGTACCACTCATTAGCGATCCCATATAGATTATTAAGTTTCACAGTTTTCGTCATAAACTGACCTTAAATTGTCATTGAGCACCAGGAATCACTGGACAATTGTTTTGTTTTAGCTTTTACCTGAATAATGTGTCATCCACGACCCTAGCGTTGGATCGAGCCTATGACCTTCAGTTCTTACTGAGAGAACTTAACCTTTAGACTACTGAGTAGACGTTCAATGATTTACATTTTTAACTTCAAGCTGTGATCAGTGGGGCTCAACCATGTGTCGTGTGTGGGAAAGTTACCCACCAAAATAATTTAGTCACACAAGAATGCGTATTGGTGATTGAACTTAAAAATACAAACCATTTTCTGCCTACTTAGCGGACTAACATCTATGTGCTCTCCACGGAACCTGATGACCTTGGGTTCGATCCTCGTTTGAGAGTATGAATGCCCACTGCCGAGTTCAATGCTGAAACCAAACAGCTGTGCAGTGTCTATTGGTTTTCAGTAGTTATTTAACTAGGATCGATCCGTGAAGTAAACTATGAAATCCTATACTAAACCGAACCAAAGATATTCCGTTCTGAAATTCAACTTATCATCAACTGAATGGTATCATAACTACTATAAAAACTGAAGGTTTTAGATATTTCAGTTCATGCGCCATCGTCCTAAGTGATTGCCTTTAATTTATTTCATTCTGGGATAATCCAACTGTTCAATTTTGCTCTTTAACCTTAAGGAATTCAATAAATTTCATTCAGATGAAAATTATCTCCGATTTAAAAAGTGCCTACAAACCTTAATTGATCATTATTATTATTACAATCTTTTCTGAAATAAGTAATGTACATATTAATCAATACTCAAACTCTTTGTTAGGAATGTATTTTGAATATATATATATATATATATATATATATATATATATATATATATATGCTAGCTACTGCCGAGTTCCATTTATGAGAGAAGAGGAGAAAGCATTACCTCCGTTAATATCGTAGAAAAGTTTTTAAGTCATTATTATAATTCCTGATAGTTCACAAAAATTTACATCAGAAATTCACAGCTAGTAAGAAGAAAATGTTTGTTTATTTTTTCTTAGTGGGTTGAATTACTCGATTTTCAAACACTATTTCTTTTTCGGTGACTGAATGCTTGCCTTCAAAACGATTAGTATATGTGTTCATATTTAATTGACGAGTTGTAATAAATTGATTAACTCGTTATCCGATCAATATTTGTTTATTTAACAATTTTGATATCGGCTATCAGAATTACAATTAACCACTCAATTATAATTTAACGTAAAGCCTGAGACAACTGTGTGTGTTGGTCCAAGTTCCCGTACATAATAAGCACGATGTGATGAAATTAACCAAGTGAATGACAAAGAAATCGAAATAGTATAATAGCGATGCTAAATTGAAAAGGCTAAGCGTTGATAATAACGATCAGTTTAAAAAGAGGCCCCTTCAGCTAACTAGCTGACTGCCTATAGTTTCACATTTTTACACCCATCTATCATAGTTCACAGTCAAGTTCAAATTCACGGTATTCATAATTGATTCAATTATTGTTGACCTAAAAATCAATTCACATCAACTATAATTTTGAATCAATGAGTTTATTATTTGTGCATATCATCAATGGATTGTAATATCAAAATGCGTGTTTATTCATTTAATTATATGGGTCAAATCTATACATCTCTCTATCATCGATTCATGCGTTCCACGTGTTGTAACTTATTCCAAATAATTTTTTCGTATACACTATTTACTTGTTATTAATAATGGAATTGTTGAGAAAATGATCTTTAGGAAGTTACGGGGTTATTTTTCACAAATAATAAACTGTTATTTTTTCGGTCAAGTCAAAAAACAGATCTCATTTTTATATCGGTTTGTAATCTCTTCATACATTAGTGTATGTTTGTTAATAAATATTTATAGGGATTTGTATTTACCCGTCATTGATGTTAACGTCTTCGGTCAGTCTTTACTGACATTCATGCATCCTGAATGGACCGCCTTAACATTATTATTTCGTTATAAGTTACGCATATACTGATAACAACTGGTCAGTTGCAGTCTTTAACATCAATAACGGGAAAATACGAACCCTTTAAAATAAAATTAACATTCTATGACTGAATTATGACGGAAGTGCACTGTACATTTACCGTGAATTCTTTATTTTAGTCCATGTCTTATGGCATTTTACTCAATTCAATTTATTATCCTGCAATCGAAGTATCATATTAAGAACAGTTTATGTCATAGACTAACTTTAGCTAGACACCCATTTCGTTTTAGTATATACACACCCAAAATCTCACGAACTATGGATCATCAAACGTCGCAGCTGCCATATTATCTTTTGTCACAGTAGTCTATCCTTCTCACTGCAGTCACTTGATGATATTGCGTAATTATCATACATTGTCTTCAGCGATGCACCTTTCTCCAATCTTCGTGTCATTCAACTCTGCCAGTTATGTTAGTACCTAAACCTTTTATTTTTGGAAAGCATATCGGTCATTAGCATCATTTTGATCTTCAGTGTTAGATTTGTGGATAATCCTATGTTGGTTATAACTGACCGTTTTTTAAACATCATGAGAAGCCTTCACAATATAAAGCCCCTCACTGTTTTTCTTAGTTACTATGTTATTTGATATTCATAATAATCCAATCGTTTTTTCTCTTTCAATCTCTTATTTTTTCACCAGCGTGCATGCAATTGATCATAGTGAATTTAGTTTATTGGTTAGCAAACGATCATAAACCTCGTTCATTATCAACATCAAACTCTGCATCTAAACTTAATGATACTACTATCACTATTACTACTACTTCTACCGCTGCTGTTCCTCCCACTATTAATACTACTGACATTCCCAAAATCACTAACCTTCCCCCTGAAAATTCAGTTTCATCAACAATATCAGATATATCTAAAGACTGTACAGTACAAATGAAAAAAATAGATAAATCTGTTCCACTGGATGAGAAAATGGATTATTATTATTATTTGAATTTCCCAGAATTTCATTTATTAAATAATTTAACAAAACCAATGGATAATAATAGTAACGATTCAATTTCTTCTAAACCAACTAACATTAATGACGATAGTGTAGATGATATGATTCGAAAATGTAATACAAATGTTTACAAGCTAATTTATAATTTAGCTATAAAGCTTAGAATGTTAAACCTGGATCCAGTGGAACTGGGTTGTTTAAAGTTGATTTTACTATTGAATCCAGGTAAGCTTTTTCATCGTCTTTCGCTCCCATTCTGTAATTTTTGAGGGAAGAGGATTGTTTATTTTATTCAGAGTATTCTGGTAGCGGAAGGGGGGTCGTCAACAAAATGTAACTTGCTTGTTCAACATAGAGCATAAAAAATTGAATCCAATGTAACGGTAAAACTTATATGATACAATAATAGCTTTATTCATATCATATGTTTAGCGTAATATAGGATTTTCAGCATGCGGTATTTAATCATGATTACAAAGTGCTGGAAGTTGGTTTGTTCTCTCCCACAGTAGTAGGCTATTGCTGATGGTATCCGGCCAACAGACACTGGGTATATATATATATATATATATATATATATATATATATGCATCGGGTCACAATCGTTTGCAATGTCTCAGGTTTATTCACTTTTGTCTTCCCTTAGACCTTAGGCTTCTAAATCTCTTATGAAATTTTTTCATTTCACTAATTTAAATTTTCCCGAATCATGTCTTCGATGCCTAGTCTTTTCTATTACCATTAATATTGTTACTACATCTACTATATGATTTCTACTAACAATTTCATCTCGCTGTACTTATGGGTTGTGGCAAAGGACCAATGTACAGATGCACCTGATTTCACGTTGTTTATAGTTGTAAAGCGAACTCCTAGTTAATGAACTTTCATATTGATTGATCCGATTAAGTTGAATTCATAAGGATTTGTATACTTTTTAGGTTGTTATAATTCTCTCTCTTACGGTTATAACCCAGCTATTCCTATTGCTTAGTATTCTCGGACACCAATTCGCTCGACAAGTCCCCAAATCAGAACACATTTGAACAGGAAAGAGATTATATTCCAAATAACAAGGTTAGATGGAAGAAAGAAGCACAATAGGAAAAACGTTAGTATATTTATAGTTTTTACATGAGAAGATTCCAGAGTATTCTCCAAGCATCGGCTGGCGCTAATTGGACAAGAATTAGCCAATCAGCGTGCGCCAACGCAAGCGTGTAATGAGCATGATTTAATCCAATCTATGTCCCGCTAACATAGGTAGATGGCCCAAAATTTTAATCAGACCGCCTATGCATTTAGATATCGACGAAATATTGTTCACATCTTCATAAGAAATTACTGCATAGCTAATACCAGATAAATTTATACTATTCACTTGTTAACAATCAATGATTGGAAAGAAAAACTTTCTACTAACATAAAAATTACATTTCGCTCCTATTTTGTTTCTCTGTGACTAAAATAACTTTCGGTCTTGGGTTGTGGAGATTGTTAAATTTCATTGAAATTATGGATCGATCTAAGTTAGGTCACTATTGACTACCTTCAAACACTGGATGCTTTTATTCTTAAGTTGAACCCTAACCATTAAGCCACCACTCCAAATCTACATAAGTAATACTCGTTTTCAGACTGTACTTCATTACATAATCATGCTTCATGTAACATCGAAGTTACTACTATGTCATTTGTTAGCTATAAATATACTTTTTATCATTCATAACATTTAAACATTATACTCTCATTTTTGTTCCTCTTTGTCTTATTCATTTACACATGTATGTAGATTCTCTGACTTGTCTCAATAATATTCGTTCATCCATTGAATTGTTACGTGACCAAGTTTACGCTGGCCTGGAATATTATTGTAATCAAGTTTGGCCAAATGCTCCACACGGACGAATGGGACGTTTATTACTGAAATTATCCAATTTTCAATCAGTTGCTTCACGTATTGAAAAGTTAACATGTTCCAATGAGTTAAATCATCTGTTAAATAATTTAGAATCCATATTTTCGTGTTTATCTGTGAAAAAAGTAGACTCTTCAAATTCTTTCAGTACTACTAATACGATGACGACGACGTCATCTACAACTACCGGTAGTAGTAATAGTATTCATCTGGAATTTTCATAAAATAAGCCTATTTATATATAATAAAATAATCAAATCACCGAGTTTGAACTGATTGGTCTATCTATCTGCCTATCTACGTTTACAGCTTTTATTCACGGAAAACTTTCTTCCTATGAATTATGTACAAAAGCATAAAACATGTGAAAACGACTGGATTAGCCTTGTTTATGAATTAATCATTGTTTGGTTCATTTTAATTTCTGCACATACACATTCATATATATTTCAAGTGAATACTTGATTGGTCTTTATTATTATTATTATTATTATTATTGTTATTTTAAAGAGAGTTTAGTTCCTGTTTGTTATTACCTGTGTTTTGTTTCTTCCTCTCTTTTTTGATTTTTTCTCTTCCCTGCTTAAATGCCATCATCTCACCCCTACCTTTGTGTATGATTATTTCATAACTTCTCCTGCGAAAAGTAAACAAATTTTCAAGAAACAAAACTGTTCCATTGTTTTTTTCTTGGATGACATAATTGAAATGGGTGAATGCTGTGTTTGTTTATGTATGCTTCTGTGTGTGTGTGTGTGTGTGTGTACAGAATGATATTCCTTCAATTTCAAATCTTCCTTGTATAACTTTATATCCTCAAAAAACAAAAAGTTTTTTAAGCGTTGAAACAGGAAAATTAAACATCTTTTATGTATTTTGGCTGTGGTTTAACCTGTTTTTCTTTTATATGCGACCTTTATGCTTTTTTCTTAGCTGGAAAGGGGGGCAGCAGTAAGTTAGCTCATAATTCATTCAAGTATTGTAATGTGTAGATTCAATTTGTTTCCATTAAATATTTCAATGGTTATACCTCGCTATGATCATTCTCAGGTGATGATGAAACTTTCAATTGAGAAAAATTTTATAATTATTTACAGCTATTTTATTCCTTCATTGTTTGAATTTCTTTTTATTAATTATATTATTCTCTTAGGTATTTAACAATATTTGACGGATCAGAAGGGAAACGGCTTGGTAGTTGTTTTTCCTATTGTATGTACTGTCTATATTATTTTCCATGCCTTTACTTCGAGAGGGGATTAATACGCCACCACTTTTTCTCCCTTCACACTTTTAACTAATTCATATATATGTAACAATGTAGTGGTTTCCACTTACTTACTTGCCTACCTCTTATTATTTACAATATTTATTTTTCTTGCTATCTATATACCAATCATATGACTGGGATGTATGTGTACTAAATAATGTAAAGATTTGCGAAGAGGGGGGAGGCGGTATAAAAATACCGGTGGTTTTGACAGTGATTCTTCAGTAAAAATGTAAATTGTCGCTGTGTTAATGTTACATTGAAATTTGTCCCTATTTTTCTATACTAAATGTCTTATAAAATATATTATATCCATTTATATTAGAGAATTAGTGGTGGATTACTTCACTTTTATATTACGATACATATATATATATATATATATATATATATATATATATATATATATATATATATATATATATCAGGTATTCGGTTTAGTTGTTTTAACTTATTCCCTCCTCATCTTCCTCGTGTTTTATTTATCTTACCACTTAACCGTCAATCCGTTGTATGTATTTTGATAAATACAACCGGTTCGTTTAATATTCTGTTGTTTTGTTTGTTTTTTTTTCTAAAAAATAAAAACAATAACGTTTCCCTGTGTCTTTTTCCTAGTTCTATATTGATTACTTAATTATTTACACATTTTTTTTAAAAAGAAAATCTATGTATCTCATAGACAGTATTTCGTGTCAGGAGTATATACATATATATATCTGGCATAAATATTCTCTTTTGCTTGTATTTTATGTAAAACAAATATATTTTAAAGATTTAGGGTTTCTTTTTATATATATAACAATGTATTACCCCAGTTTATTAATTCATCCCACCCACCTCCAGCTTACGCTGTGTACATTTTATTTTTAAATTTGTTTTTTCCCTTTTTCTATGCCTTTTTATGGTATTTGTGGTGTTGGTGGTAGTGTTGAAACTTCATATGTTTTGTGAATATAATTAAAAGAAATTTAAACTGTTCATTGATGTGAGATGAATACACTGTGAAAGGAAAAAAGAAGAAGCTTGAATGACACATTCACAATAATTTTGTTTATTATTTACTAATTATCATTACTACTTAATAACAAGGTTATTTCTGAGTTTTTGTTGTTATTGTTGTCTCTTTTTCGGATTTGAACTCTGAGTGATAATAACAGTTATAATATATAAATATACATATATATTATAATAATTAATGATAACTATTTGTCCTTTTTTCGATTAATTTGCGATCTGTATTTATCAGTGTTTGTCTTAGATCAAATTGATTGAAGTTTTATTTTTTTACTCCTGACGATAAGTTTTGTGAGTACAACCATAATTCCTAAAATGATTATTGAATCGTTTAAGTGTTATCAAAATATATCCTCAATATATCTAGGTGGATACTTTAGTTTCTCCTAAATATGTAAAGATATAGCAAGCTCAATAACAAACTATATCTGGTTGTAATCACGTTCAATAGCTTGAATCTAAACTGGTGATAGCGTGGTTACTAGAGCTCATTGTTATTTGTGAAGACGGCTCCGGATGAACTATAGGAAGCTCTGAAACAGCCAAAGACATTCCATACAATCTTCGCATTTGGAGGAACATTGCGAAATCTTGACGTGTAGCTTCCTAATTGGACAAATGCTAAAACCCACTGCATGCAGATTGGATGACTGTAATGATGATTTCATTCTTACTAAAAACTATACCTGAATGTTTTGTACCATATTTGATACTGGTTAGTATAAGGTTTCTTGCCACTCGTTTTTCTGTTTTCTAACTTGCGACTTGGAGGGTCCAAGCGTTTGAGTGCTTAAGTTGTTCACGGTATAGCAAGAATCCAAGTTTTAGATATAACATTATTGAAAAATTAATCACTACAAATGTTATTGACTTTTATTATCCATCTTAAAACAACAATCATAACAGACTATACGATTTCTCTTAATTAGCGGGCGACAGCTTTGAAGGTGAGGAAGGTGTAAAAGGTCGTTTAATAACACGGGGGTGCGTTTGTATAATAAGTGTGAATAAGTTGTTTTAATGGTATTCGATGTGTTTGTTTCACTTTTGCTAAAAAACGGAAATTAACCGTCATTGTCAAGTGTTATAGGGGTTTTGCATTACTTGGTCATTTTATTGGCTAGTATTGATATAGCCTATTAAAACGTTTTCCCTTCCTCAGTTTTTGCCTCAATCTTGGTGTTAGCATGCACTGCATACGTTTTTTCGCGTCTATCCTTTGATCAGTTAGTCATAATGTTGAACCTGGTACATGTACATTGATTCAAGCTTTTATAGCATTTCAACATATCGAAACAAGTTTCTTAAGACAAGTCCCAGAGCAGTAGAAGTATTAACAGTATCAACGATAGTAGAAAAGATTAGGTATAGACTATGTGATTTGAGAAGACAGAATGAATTCACGGGATTAAAAGTACAAGATAATTTTAAAACTCAAAATGTAATACAAAAATTAAGTGCATCTGTGCCATTGCGAATGAATATGAGCCATTTCATTCCATATCTCTAATCATTAGTTACAATGATCGCTCCGACCCCAGCTACTTAGTAAGCATAACTTAGACGAACAATCGGTGACTTCATGAATTGATAATGCAATTGGAAAACCATTATTAGTTGTCATGGGAAACTGGGATATATTTTTGTTTTAGTTAAAATCTCATCACTCGCTCAGAAATTATTTATGCAATGAATTTAAAACCTTCAGGTCTCATAAAAAGCATAATTCATTTTAGACCAGTGGTTTACATTTCTGAATTCAGTCAATTCCCAACATAACGCACCCAGTATCCATTCACACTGGTGATATGTCTGATTACTGTAATAACTGAATATCACTTATTGTTTTTCGATTCCGAATCTTTTTTGTACAAAGGCAAAAACAAATTAATACAGGATCGGTGTATACAAAAGTGAACTAGAATCCAACCTATCAAAGTACTAAATTGATTAAATGAAAGCTAGAAATACCATTTATAAGATTCAAAATTGGTGCTATTTAATTAACCTAGTGTGACAACTTGATTTCTATTTAAGTCATTGAATTTCCGTTTACGTAACTGTTTCATAGAATGTGTTGATTGATTGAATAGTTTTTGTTCTCAAGGTATCCTGATGAAGCATATATACAACCAAATTATGATTAATGGAAAATTCGAATGGTTCAATATGACACTGACAATTTCGTCACAAGAAAAAAATATTGATGTAATGAATAAGCAGAAAGACAAAAACAGTGAATATCAAGCGATACAACTCATAAGAACATGAATAAGATATATTTGATCGCACTCGTTATACAATTCGAAATAGATAAACATGATCACCATTGACTTCTATTCTGATTCATGTTTGATAACATCTCCAGCCGATAAATTGCGCTAAATTCAGGGTGTTTATCTAGAGTTATGACGATCAAATTGATGCGAATCCGATTCAATTATCATCGACTATGAGGCACCATATAGTGAGATAACCACTTCCCTACTTTTCTTTATTGTTCCAGAATCTACAAATAAATGTTCCGGGATGATAGGCGTAAATGTAATAAAGCCACTGAATGCACTATTTATGGAGGATAATACTTGTTGAATTATCATCTCTATCATAACTTCATACACCTTGTTAGATGTCAAAATTAATTGATCTATGTTATCACCAAAATCGAAAGTTTATCAGAACTGATCAGAGAAATTCTCCGAACTTCCATATGTCGGAAATGCAAGGTTATAAAGGTAAGACAGAGTAGAACTTCTCGATAACTGAAATAACCTGACAGCACTAAAATTGTGTCAGATTGACTTCATAGATTTTATCCTACTTAGGTTGAATTAATTTGGTACGTCTGTACAAGTAGAGATTCACAAATTTTCCTACTGTATTCAATAGCTTAATATATATGGGGTGAATCAATGAATAAACAACGATACAAGTTTCTGGTGGATAGTACATAGTATTTGGAAAGTGAGTACGATTTAAGACTTGTATGTCTTCTCATATTAAGATCATATTACCGGTGTCATATAAGAAACCCATAAAAATAAAGTATTTTTTTATATACTATTGGTTATTTTTTCATATCCATTAAACCTTCTTTATGAATGTATTTGTCAAATAAGAGATTGTTAAGTTTAGTTGTT